GGGGAGGGGAGGGGAGGGGAGGGGAAGGAGGAAACAAGCAAGCTGTTCAGATGAAGGGAGTGGTAAGCAACTCATCCCCTTCGAAAAGTAGGTATCCCTTCAAGGAACCCCTAGAGCTGCCTCATAGCCAAGCCTGAAAGCTAATTCAATCAGACTGGAAACCACCCTGTGCCTCCAAATGTCTCAGCGTGGGAAATGGAAGACAGCAGATGTAGTGGAAGTCCCTCCACTGGAAAGATAACGCACTCCCTAACCCTTGCCGAGGTTACGGCTATGGGGTACTCACCTCTGCAGTTTTTGGCTAAGAAATGCCAAGGATAGCCATGTATTTCAAGAACAACTCTGTTGTGAGAAATTCCAGCACATTCCACTCTGGGAGCACCAACATCTTCACCCTTTTTTTGTAGTTAGAACTTGCACCAGGGGAGAGCCTTTGTCCCTGCCTGGAGGGGCCACATGGAGGAAGGGGAATAAGACAGCAGAAAGCACAGGGACTTGGGTGGCAGAGCTGCCAGGCCAAACCCCAGCTCTGCCACTTAAAAGATCTGTGACCTTGGGCAAGTTATTTAACCTTTCTGAACTTCAGTTCCCATATCCAAAAGGTAGGATAATTAATCGTCCCTACAGCTTATAGGACTGTCTTTGGGGTTTATAGGAGGGATTTTTTTCAAGTGCTTTATAAACTACTCCCAAATGTTAGCTCTATTTACACTGATTTTATTGCTGGGCTCCTAGGAGGCCAGATGCAGCAGACTTAGTTTCTACTAAAGGTCTTTTATTACAACAGACGCCAGGCATCTAGGGCAGCCTGTTGTCTGAAGAACAGCCTGCTTCTCCCACAAGAATCCCATAATCCCAGGCTCTATACAACATCTAAGTCTCGATGCCAGGCCCTGGCTGACACTCCGACCCACTCCCAGGGAGGCCTGGTCTGGGTTGTTGTTACCCTGGGGGTCTCGTTTGTCCTGCTGTGAAGGGCAAAGGAACCCCCCGTAGGGTTGAGGGGGGAGATCAAAGGACACTTCAGTGGGGTCAGAGACTGCCTGAGAGTGACTCAGTGGGCAGGAAGTTCGGCCCCATGCCTCACCGGCCTTCTGGCCCACTTTACATTCAATATAATACCTGCCCACACCGCCACTCTCCATCCAAAATCAGGTCCCCAAGCGGCTGATGATACAGGAAATGGCCCTACATCTCCCATCCCAGGGTTCAGTCCCTGACTCAGAACTGGGAAAGGGACCGGGCACCATCTCGCAGATGCCCCAAAGACTTGGAAAGCACTCTGGTGGCTTTCTGAGCAGGCACATCTGGCCCAACCACACCTTTCGTCGCCACTGTTTAAAACCAGTGGTTCTCAGACAGAGGGGCTCGCCAGCAGGGTCAACATCACGTAGATACTTGTTACAGATGTGGACTCTCAGCCCCCTCAGACCTACAGGTTCAGAGACCCTGGGAATGGGGCCAGCCGTTTGTTTGAAGACGTGCTCCCTGGGGGATTCTAGTGCACGCTCAAGTTTGAGAACCATGACTTCAATCCAGTGTTCCCCACCTGCTCCTCTCCCATCTGCCTGTCGTCAGAACCAGCTGGGGGCCTCATGACAGCCAATGCTCTGGAGCTACCCCAGAGATCTGGATGTCACTGATGCCACCTCATCAGCACTTCCTTTTAGAAGCTCTTTGAAAAGAACAGGAGGTGCAGAAGATTCCTGTGGCTGTGAGACTGCTCTGCATGGTAAAGTCATGGTAGGTGCAAGTCACTATGCATTTGTCCAAACCCGCAGAATGTGCAACACCAAGGGTGAGCCCTATGCACACTGGGGACTTCGGGTGACCCTGAGGCATCCTGGGAGGTTCACTGACTGTAGCAAATGTGCCAGGCTAGTGTGGGATGCTGACAGTAAGGGGGGCTGTGTGTGCGTCAGGGCAGGGCAGGCATGGGAAATCTCTGTGCCTTCCTCTCATGTTTGCAGTGAACTCAAAACTGCTCTAAAGCATAGTCTATTAAAAATCAATCTCCCAGGTGACTGTGAATCCAGTGGTCTCTGGGCTGATGCTTGGGAGGCAGAGAGGAAAGCCAGGCCTCAGAAACAGCAGGTAAAACCACCTGGTTGTGGAGTCATCTAGGAAGATTCTAGATGGAGGGAAGTCAGACTGAGGGCTGAAGTAAGGAGAGAGGGGTGGGGGAAGAAAGCAGAGAGCAAGGGCTTAGAAGCACTTCCTCGGAGCGCACCCAGCCCCTCCTGCATCCAACACGCACTGAACGCCTTCCTTCCCCACATCCCCTCCACCCCGTCAGTGGGTCAAGTGCTGGCCTGGGACTCACCCCACTTAGTGGCAGGGTCCCCTCTTCTAGCGAGTGAACTGAGCCACTCATCCATGTGTAGCTGCTTCAACCTCATCTGTAAACAGGGTACTGTGGGGCTGACTGAGACACAGCCCAGCGCCTGGCACAGGGCAAACAAGTAATAAATGCAGGTTTTAATAAACTGATTGACAGAGACTGGAGCCCACATCTGCTGCATGGAAAACAGCATCCAGACAACGGATGGTCTTGTCTCCTGCCAATACCACCTGTCTGGCTTGGAGGTTAGACTTAAAGCACAGGAGAGAACCCTGGATCTCCATGACCAGAAACAGACCCTATATTCCCAAAGACAAGCTGAAACCACTGGGACAAAAATACGCGCACGCACACACACACACACACACACAGAGAGAGAACAAAAAACCTTCAATCTGTAAATGTTCACTGTCTATTCTAACTAGACGCTGGGCCAGGGCTGGGGGTGCAGAACACATACCCCCTTAATTACAGAGGGGCTCCAGTCCAGTGAAGAGCAAGAAAGATGCCGCTGGGGCTACTGGCTTCTCAGCAGGTGGCCCATCCTTGGAGCCTGTATCACTCCCAGCAAGGGGAGCTTCAGGAGGAGGGGCATCTATGTCCTGATATGCACGGTGGCTTGAGAACCAATGTTCTAGAGAATCTAAGAGCATATATTACAGAAAACAGCACTCTCTCTGCCTCTCGTGGCTTTTTTCCCCTTTTGTTTATTTCTTTTATAAGCCTTTTGTAGAAAGCAAGCACATGTTGTAAATGAACAACTTTAATATTCACGAACTGACAAGAAGAAGGCTGAGGAGAGGACACTTGCAGGACATCAGCAGGCTCCTCACGTTCCCACCCGGCACCCTGTCCCCAAAGGTGATTGCTAGCCTGCCTCCTGTCTCCAGAGAGCAGCTTGTCCTGGTCAAGATCTTCACATAAATTGAATCATAAATTAAATCTGCCTCTGCGTCTGGCATCTTTGGCCGAGTTTCACGCTTATGGGACTCATCCATGGTTCATTCTCATCGCTGTATTTAATACAACTCCATGACCAGATGATAACACGGTTCATGTACCCATTCTATGCCAGTGGGCATGCATGCTCTCTCCTCTTTGGAGAGAGGAACAACACTGCTGCTGGAAACATTCATTCTACATGTGCCTTTTGGTGGACACAGCCCTCCTTTCTCTTGGGAATCTGCTGGGGAGGATTTGCAGGGCCAAAGGGTCAGCATACCCTCAGCTTTAACCAAGCCATGTTTCCAGATCCATTAACCCCCAGCCCCCTACTATGCTTCATTTTTCTCCCTGTTCCTCTCCCCCACCTCACTCACTACCCACACTTATTTCCGTTTTCAGTCTCTAAGCACATCATGAAGGCAGGGATTTGGGGTTTGTTCACTGGGACTCCCCTGAGCCTTGGCACTGCCTAGCCCCGAGCAGATTCTCAAGGGCATACACAGGCACCCGAACTTTTGCATTCACCTGTGCATGAGCTCGGGACTCCTCTCAGCTGTCTCCTCCCATATCTCCCTCCCACAGCGCCTTCCCAAAGTCCAAGGACCCAATCCTCATCCAGTCCTAGCCCCCACCGCCAGTCAGGCCTCAGGTAGAAACTAAAGGTCCCCAGCAGTTCTTGCCATTCCCTGGGACAGAGCGTACAGGCTCTTAGGAGAAGTTCAGCCTCAAGTTTCAGCCCTGTGAAGCCGGCCAACTGGAGTAGCAATGACTCCAGACCTTCCTGAGCACTGGCTGGGGTCTGAGCACCTAGCAGACAGAAGGAGCAGCTGGGACACTCAGTGAGCTCACAGCTAGGAAGGCAAATCAGGCAGCCTGATGAGGCTGGGGCAGGTGAGGTGTTTAGGTCACAGGAGAGCTCCAGTGAAGCTGAACCCCACCCAATCTGGGGAAAGGAGGGAGGGCTTCACAGAGGAAGTGTCTCAAGAGTTGCCTCTTCCAAGATGCCCAGGGTTCCCCAAATAGAGAAGGCTGGGGTCATGGTGTGAGTAGGGACTAGCATGTGCAAAGCAGGAGAGTGGCCTGGGCGCAGCAGGGTTGAGAGGCAAAGCCCACCCCTGGCCAAGCAGAGGGAACTATGGGGAAAGGAGTCAGAAAGACCACAGGGGACGATAGTGGCAGAGACCGAGAACCGCCAGGCCAAGGCCTCTGGGGTCACCCAAGGGCATGTGGCATGTGCAGGCTTCCGCAGCTTACCCATGCGGAGAAGGCGCCTGCAACCTTGGTGAACTGCAGACTGACTCCGCAGGCCTGGGGGCTCAGAAGTCTGCATTTCTCATGGGTACCCCATCAGTGCAGTTGTCACTGGTTCCCAGACCACACTGGGAGCAGCAAGGGCTTAGTTAGGGAAGCAGAATTAGGAGACCTCAGCAGTGTACCCCCTCAAGGGAAGAGGGACCAAGAGGGGTGCAGTGATGCGGAAGAGGAACCAGAGCCTTAAGCAGCTCAGCCCACTCAAGGCCGGCTCTCGGTGCATCAGCCACAGCTCTACTTTACACAGCCAGCCCATTCCAGAACCTTCCACACCACCTCGGAGCAGCACCTCTCCTCCAGAGCCTCAGACCCTGGTGTTGCCATGGCAACAACCCACAAACAGGGGGAGCCCAGGCTTCAGTGCCATAAACAACTCTGACAGATTCAACAAATAAAGATGTACTACAGCAATTTGTGGGGAATTTATGAGAAATTAAAAATTCAACTTGGACAATAAACAACCCATTTCAGAATTTGCCCCACTTAAAGTTAAATAAACCGCATGCGAGCATTTTTCAAGCATGATGTTTCAAGACTAAAAACAGGCCCTGCTGGGAATGCTTCCTGAGCCTCCAAAACTGGGTGCTGTGGGGAGAGCACAACTCGTATCTGCTCACATCACAGAGCACTTTCACAGCTTAGAAAGCACCCAGCTCACCCTCTGGGTGCTCCCAAACACACCCAGAGACTGCAGGCCAAGGGTGAGTAACACTCTCAGGATTATGAGCCTCACAGGTGACTTGCTCAGAGTGCAGGGACTCCCCAAGGTCACAAGACTGGTCAAAGTCAGAGGCAGCATGCAAACCCATCACCCAGACTCCAAATCCACTATGCATTTACAGGGAGCTACATGTGCATTTGCTACACACAGAAACACTGCACCTAGGTGACGTCCGACATGGAGAGCTGACTGGGTTATCTGTAAATCTGTCCTGCTGAAATAGCACACAAAGAGCTTGCTTCAGGCAGATCGACAAATTCTCACACACACACCCTCACGCACACATTCACTCACACTTGCTCACTCACACTCACTCGCTGCCCAGGAGGCGGGAGACCTCAGATCTCAGCTTCTGCAGTATGAACAGGGCAACCTCACCAGGCTGACTTCAAGATGAAAGGCTAAGAAAGCAGAAAGACGTGCAAGTACACCTGGGAGATTTTCTAGCCCTGTTTTCCGAAGAAATCGGGGATTTGCAGAAGGTGAGAGTGAAATAGGACCCACAAGATCCCATCAGCTGTCAGAGAAGGGAGCAGGGCCAAGTCATGGCTATGCAGGAATGAGAAGCAGAGGCAGGGATGAGGGGCAGGTCCAGTGAGGAACCCAGTCTCCTGTGGCGCTGGCCTGGGGCTGCAGCACAGGCAGCCATGGCTTCATGCTCTCCCATGGGGGCCACACGACTCAGAGCTCACCTACCAGGCACCCTCCTGGTCATTCTCGCCATGGTTGGTGGCACCAGGCACCTTGATGGAGAGAAAAACGATCATGACCCATGATTCCAGGGTCACCATATGCTGTCTCTCAGGGGGCTACCTACTGACAGGTGGGAGAAACCCATCAGCTCAGCGGGAGCCCTCCCCAGCTCCCTGCCTCTGGTCTTCCCAGGCGGCCCCACAGTTGCCTGTCTCCCTGAGCTACTGATACAGAGAAGGTCAAAGACTTGGTAATCTCAGAGTCCCCAGGGGGCAGCAGGGGACCTGCCACTGGGGCCTGGGGGAACACCCAGCAACAGAAGGAACAAAGGGCCAAGCCCCTGTAGGGCCCTGCGCCAGCAAGCTCATCAGCTCCCTCAAAGGATCAGTCGTAAATTTCCAGATGATGGAAAATGAGCTCATGGGACAACGGCCACAGGGGCATCTGAGAGGGCCAGAAAGGTCGTGGCCATGCCGGACTCTGGGTAGGGACAGAAGAATTGGGTCCCCTCTCACAGAGGCCACAGGACACACTGCTGCTCTGCCTTGAGGTCCACAGGGTCACGAGGCAGGGGTGGAGGGGGCTGATCACTCCCTGCTCACCCCCATCCACTCTACCTAGCTCTGAGCCTGGGAGGCTGACCGCCACAGAACGCAGCACTCAACATCCAGGGCTTCCAGCTGCACTTGGCCAATGGGGGACACTGGCAGGAGACCAGAGGGCAGGAGGAGAGAGGGGTGGGGTATTTAGTCACCTGTCTCTCCCTGCTTCAGAGACATGCCCTGGACAGTGGCTGCAGCTTGCTACGACTGCCATCACAGAGCTTCTGTGACACTTTCTTCACTTTACCTGTGGCCCAAGGAGCAGGAACAGCTCCTCTCTGCTGCCAGGCTCTGGGTGCCTCACCAGCCCCACTGCTCCGTAAACTCTGCCCATAGCTCGAAAAACATTCCCTGCTTTAAAGGCTCTTCTTTGAACCATCAAGGGTGAGCTCTGCTTCCTGCCACCTCCCTGGCTGATATGAAAGAGGGACAAGCTCTGGGTCACCACACACACAGGATCAGAAGATGGGGAGCAAACCTGAGCCAGAGAGACGAGAGCAGGACCACCAGGCCACACATGGAGCCTCACCAGGAGAGAGGCCAGGCTGAGGGGACACAGTCTGGAAAAGGCGAGCATCAGCATGGGGACAGTGAAACAAGCTCAGGAATGGAGGGAACCCTGCTCTGCTATAAAAGGACCATGCTTGGAAGGTACAGGGGGGCTGATTGCATGGTAGCCTTGGAAAATTCAGGAAGGCTATGGGAGGTTTTTATGAGGAACCAGATAGGTCTGGTTAGCACTGAGGCAGGGGCGGGGCTTGGAAAGGTTGGAGTAGAAAGACCCTAGGCCACGGGCAACAGGAGACCTGAGTTCAAAGACCCTCAGTGATTGGCGCTTGGAGCTCCATGATTCTAGAAATGTCACAGAAGCAAGTGACAGATCTGAGCCTCAGTTTCCTCATCTATAAAATGGGGAGAATAATAAATACTCCCATCTCACAGAGCTATTCTGAGAACTAGGAAGATAAAAGTGAAAATGTCCAAGACAGAGCGGGACACAGACTCCACAATGACAAGGATTTGGGTTCAAGGTCAGGTAGCCAGGGTTCACTGGAACAGTAACCCACACCAAAAACTCCACTCCCAATCCGGATTGGCTCCATACCACTAGGGAACCACTGGAGGGATCACCCCAAAAGACAACTTAACATGCAAGTTGGTGTTTGATACTCTTCAGAAACGAACTTTCCAGACTGCACTTCCCCAAATGACTCCTAAGCCTCCACCACTTGCTGCAGATTACTCAATGCAGATCTGGGGCCTGGCTGTGTGATAAGTACTTTAACATTCTATCTCAATTACCCTTCTTAACCTCAAAGGCTGGTGCTATGGCAACCCCGTTTCCAAGCAAGGAGGCTGAAGCACCTGCAGTGCTGGGAAGAAGCAGGACCAGGGGCCACCCAGGGACCACCCACCTTCTCAGGAGCCCACCACTCCTTGCCCCTTTCCCTGGGTGAGAAACATTCATAGTGAGGAATGTCCACGGGCACAGCTGCAGCTAGGCCACAGCCCCAAGCCCCATAGGCAGAGAGAGGGGGTCTGGAGCACGAGAGAAAGGAGGGAAGGGAGGGCACAGGAGAGAAAAACGGATGCTGTGTGCATGCCTGGTGCACAGGTAAAAACACAGCATTCAAATCTGGAAGCATGAACTCCCACAAGACCTTCCCTTTCTCTAATTCCCTAAAATGTATGGGTTTGTTTATTTCACCAAGAAGTATATATTCCTTTTACAGACTTCAAAATCAAAATACACAACTTACTTCTGTAACCCAAAGAAATAATCACAGGCTTGCCCCAACAATATCAAAACTGGATGCTTATCACTATACTATTTACAAAGGTGACAGACCAGAACCATGGCCAGCATCAACCAAGGGAATCAAAGAACTTCAGTTACAATCAGATAATATTATGTAGTCATTTAAAAACAAGCCTAAGTAGACATTTAACAAAGAGGAAAGCGCTAGGAGAATGCTAAGTGTGTTTGTGGAGACAGATTACAACAGAATCACAACTGTTTAAAACTACATCAAGGCTGGGCGCGGTGGCTCATGCCTATAATCCCAGCACCTTTAGAGGCTGAGGCAGGCAGATCACTTGAGGTCAGGAGTTCAAGAACACCCTGGCCAACATGATGAAACACCGTCTCTACTAAAAATATAAAACTTAGCCAGGCATGGTGGTGCACGCCTGTAATCCCAGCTACTCAGGAGTCTGAGACAGGGAAATTGCTTGAATCCAGGAGGCTGAGGTTGCCGTGGACCAAGATCACACCATTGCACTCCAGCCTAGGTGCCAGAGCATGACTTCGTCTTTTTAAAAAAAAAAAAAAAAACTGCATCAAAGCTGGGCATGGTGGTGCACACAGTGCACACCTGTGGTCCCAGCTACTCTGAAGGCTGAGGTGGGAGGATTATTTGAGCCCAGAAGTTTAAAGCTGCAGAGAGCTATGATCGTACCACTGCACTCCAGCCTGAGTGACAGAGTGAAACCTCATCTCTAAAAAAACAATTTTAATTCTAAAAAAAGGTTTTTTTAATGCATCAATATGTGTGCCATTTTTATGTTCAAAGGACATGAATAAAGTCAGATTTTATTCACATTTTAGTGTGCTGGTTATCCTTGGGCTAGGGAGAAACACATTGTGCTCCCACAAGCTACACAGGAGGCTCTCCAGGCCTTCCAGAAAGGCACTTTCAAACCCACTTCTGGAGGGACAGAAAATCATGCAGGACGGAGGACAGGCACTAGCAGGAGGCCCTGAGCCCGCAGTAGTTCTATGCTACTGGAAGTCGTAAAACAGGTCAATGGCTGCCCAGTGTGAGGGGCTGCCTGGCTCACGGTCAAGGCCAGAGCCTGGCCTATCATATACCAAGGCATTTCCTCTTCTCCCCAAGAAGATACACTGGGTGGGCAGGGGTCCTTGTCCCTGCTGGACAAAGGAAGGCACTGAGGACTGAGACAGCAAAATAACTGAGGACCCTGAACGATCCGGCGGAAGAGTCGGTCAGCAGACAAGCTCATCAAGTCCTGCCCTTGCCAGGCCCCAAAGCCCTGGCTCAAGGGAGGGCCGGACCTCCCATTTATGAAGTTCAGTAAATGTGTGCCCCACCCCACCCCCATCTCTCATCTCTCTCCCATGCCAGACCCTTCTCTAGGCCCCACTGCTTGGCCATTAGCTCAGTCCCAAAGGCATCCTTGCCCATCCCGGCTACTGACGATCCTGTCAAAACACTGTAAATAACTTATTTCTACTTGGCAGAGTCTGCAGCAAAAATACTGCCAGGGCAGGGATGGGAGTGAGCCAAGGCCTGCTTCCAAGCCAGGAAACCCATGCCCTCCTGCCCAGGGACACCTGGTCCCCCACCCACTTGAGATGGCAGAGACACACAGCACAGGCCAAACTCCTGCCCAGTGAGACAGGGGCATGAGCATCACAAGACCCCTCAAGTCATCTCAGGAGCAGGAAAACCAGCAAGCCCCACAGCCCCACAG